GGACAGGCTTCATCCTTGGGGGTTGCACCCAGGTCTGCCTGATTCCAAAGATCGGAGCCTGCCACCTCTCAACGAGGTGATTGTGACGTTGCAGGACTTTTCGGCAGTATTTATAGAACATGCCAGAAGCAGTGCTTTGCACCTCAGGTTTGAGGGGGAAGCAGAGGGGGCACCGAGAGAGAAAGGAGGAACCGAGCTCATTGCCCGTATCTTCTCCCTCTCGGGTCCCTGAGCCCTGCGGTGCCGACAACAATGTGGCCGCAGTGGCGTTGACTAAATCTGCTATCTCGGCCGAAGCTGAAGGGGGTACAGCATACAAAGCCAGATGACTGTGTCGGCACCTCAGCAGAAAAAGGATGCACGGGGGGAAAGTGTAAAGGGCAAATAATTTCAGGAAAAAATCCTGTCTGGCTAGAAATCAAAGAATGTTCATCAAAACGGCAATGAAAATCTAAATAGACAAAGTCTTTTCAAATCCTGAAAAATGTCATTATCCGAAAATAGAGAAATTATTTAAAAAGCATGTGAAATCATACAGTGGAATAGTATGCTTGTGTTGACAATATGTTTGTAAAGAATGTAAAACTGTGTAATGACATAGGAACACTCACGATATAGTGAAATGGAAATGAGAAAACGATGCCCTGGCTGGTGTGGCTCAGTGGATTGAGAGTCAGCCTGTGAAGCAAAGGGTCGCTGGTTTGATTCCCAGTCAGGGCACGTGCCTGGGTTTAGGGCCAGGTTCCTAGTAGGGGACACTTGAGAGGCAACCACACATTGATGTTTCTCTCCCTCTCTTCCTCTCTCTAAAGAATAAATAAAATCTTTAAAAAAAGAAAGAAAGAAAATGAGAAAACAAAGCTGCACAAATGGTATAAACCCAGTTAAAAAATGTGTGTTTATGAGTAGAAAAAAAATACCAGAATGGAATCTATCCAAACATTAACAATGTTTATTTCTGGGGGGCAATTTCTATAGCTTTCTTTTTTCTTTTTCTACATATTCTAACATTTCTAGATGAGTGTATGCTAATTTGGAGACGAGGAGTGCCCAATCGGGAATCAGGGTTACCAGCTTGGTAGGTCCTGACCCTGCAAGGCCACATCTACGAAATGAGGGGCCCCCAAAAAATCTAGATGGTTCCCTGGGTCCTTTTGATCCGAAACATTTCAATCATCCACTCCATCAGGGTTTACAGAATGTCCGTATAGAACGGACTTTCCATGCCCCGCCACTTGGGGCGCTCCAGAGCTAGATCCGGCCAAACTGGAAAGCGAAGTGGAGTTTGGGGCCTCCTGGTGCCACGTGACTGGTCCTCTCTCTGCCGAAGCTTCGAAGCTTCGGTGCCTCCTCTGCTCCCCCTTCCCCGCTTCCCCTCGTCAGGCCCTGCTCTCCCACGGAACTCACCCTTGGTCAGAGAGGGGTCGAAATGACTGGCAGCCTCTTAGAGGACAGCCCCCTACAGGGGATCGACAAAGTAGGGGTAAACTCTTCCCTTGAACACTTGAGGCTTTCAGAGTTCGTTTTAGGAAAAAGCTAACAGGTGGGAAAATACTGGGAGCTGTCAGATTTTTTTAGCTCTTGGGGATCCTTGCCCCACCCTTGCTTACCTGCCTGGTGGATTGCACTCGTTTGCACAATCCAGTTCTGTGTGACAGCTCCCTCATTTCCTGGGGGTGTGGCGGGGGTGGGCATGGGAGGTTCCCTCTCCCCTCTGCACTCCCGGAGGACCCTGGAGGTCGCTCTGCTGTGACAATGGCCGCATCTCTGTGTGACTTCTCGTTTGCTCGTCTCCCGCATCAGCCTGTGAGCCACCTGAGTGTCCCGTGTTCCCTGTATCACAGCGTCCACCCTGAGGCCCAGCCAGAGAAAGTGTGACAGATGCAGGACTCACTGAAGGACATTTCAAGGCCCCGAGAGCAGCAGTACCCTCCTGGCCCTGTAGGGGGCCTGCTTCTGGGTGTCTTTACAACCCTCCCTTAGAGCTGCGATTTTCAGCTGGTGTGCGGTGGGGATTTCTAAAACATGCAGTCCCCGACTGCTCAGTCAGGGGCACTGACCTCTCCTCCCTCAGACTGTCTCGCAAAAAAACGACAGCAACCAACACAACAATAGCCATCAGTGTGAATGAATCAAAATTGTACCTATTTTTTGTCAGATCGGCAAAAAACCGTATTTTGGGGTGTGCTGAGGAATTTTAGTAATGAGTTTATGTGTGCCACGAGACGGAGAAGGTTGAAAATTGCTGCCTTCGAGAAGCAGACAAAATATACGTAACCAACCATAGAATCTCAGGACTTTTATCAGCAGGGGATAGCCCTTACGTGACAAGCCATGAGTTTGAATCCCTAACCCCCTGGCCTGACCCGACCCCTACAAGTCCTCAGATTTTTAAAGCTGGGGGGGGGGGGCAGGTCGCCACAGGAGAGGGAAACTGATTCCACTGGTTTGGGTCAAACATTTTTAGTGAAATAGAACAGACTATGATAAGGAGTAGTTTACAACATTTTTGTTTCATTTGTACACGTATGTGTTAGTGTGAGTTATGATTAAAGAAAAAACATCCATAGCCTCCTTCTCACACTCCTTGGAGGAAGGGAACCCGCCCCCCCCCCCCCCACCCCCCCACCCCCCCACCCCCATCGCTGTCTGCTTGTGGCTGCTGAGATACCCCTGCCTCCTCCTCCCTTCGCGTCCCTCCCGCCCATCTCTGGAACTGGCAGAGGCACCGATGCTGCTGCCGGCAAGCCCTCCAACATCACCGCCTCCCTCGGGCTGAAGTGCCTGAGAGGTGACGTGCTCCGGCATGAGCTTCCAAATCAGATTTCCCTTAGTGCAGGTTTGGGGTCCGGTGAGTTAAGAGGACAAAATAGTTGCTTGCCCATGAAGGACACTGAGAGGCTCATGTCCATCCCCTTCCCACCCATGGGTCTCCTGGAGCCATTTTTGTCCTGGGTGCTGAGAAGCAGCCTATACCTGACAGGCGCCTTGCCAAAGGCTTGCCCCCACCCAGCCTCCTCCCTGGTCTGGGCATTTGCATCAGCAGTAGCTTCAGGGTTCTTTGCTGCTCAGCCCTGCGGTTGATGCAGCCACATTTCCAGCAGACTCTGCAAACGCTGCTGAACAGGGTACCAGCAGCTCCTTGCACCCGTCTCATTGATTCCAGCAGCAGCGCGGTGGAGGGGCCGGGCCTGCTTCCCCTGCACTAGTTGAGTGCCCTTGGGCAACTTAGCCTCTCTGTCGGTGCCTCAGTTTCCCCATATGTAAAGTGGGAAGAGTAACCATACCTATGCCACAGAAATACTGTAAGGATGAAACCAGCTCACATGTGCAAAGTGCTTGAAGTAGTCGCTGCACAGAGTAAGCGTTCAAAATGTTCATTAATTCTATCTAAGGATCTCATAGATGTGCACGGTGATTATTATCATGTAAATGGGATGTAATACAAAGTCCAATCTCCCGACCCCAAGTTCTGTGTTCTTTTCCCTCTAAGGGCACCCACTGCGACCTCAGGTGCCACCGAGGCCTCCACCCCTCTGCCCAACCTCCCCGCCCCTCGTCTGTCTCCGCGGGGCACTGGCTTTTTATTTTATTTTATTTCTGAGTTCTAGGCTAACCAGACTGTGACGAGCACATAAATAGACTCCTTATGCCTCCAATTAAGTTTTTCATAAAAATATCCCTCAGTAACTGAGTAGGGTGGTTTGAGATGGAGACGGCGATGTGAGTGAGGACTTTACGAGCGGCCCGGCTGGATGGCCTGGTTTTTCCAGCCTGCGATTTTCCCACGTCCGCACTGCGAAGACCTGAGACGCCCCTGCTTTCTCTTGCTGGCAACTCACAGAGGGAACGGAACTTCGGGATTTCAAATGCACCCCCACGAGCAGCCCGAGGGAAATCGGGTGGTGGTGACGGCATTTTAAAGACACTTAACTTTCTGTTGACTGGAGCGCCCCCGCTGTCCACACAGCCGAACACAAACCCTCTGAAACCCAGGTGTTTGCCCGGTGACCGGAGACATTAGGGTTCTGAAGTGTCTTTAAATCGTTAGAGACGTTTTGATGTGCTTGGGGTGGTTTTCCTGGATTTTATCAGTCTTTTTTTTTTTTTTTTGAGAATTCAAATCCATGTTGGCTTTATGTGTTAAATCTGTTCATCAAAGTGTTTGATTAAATGGAGCTTTCTGATGGTTCATAAACCACTGTGGTTCTCAAATAGTCTTTTCCATAGATTTGTGCCTGGACTGAGCTGGGCTTGGGGACTGATGAGGGACCCAGGTGACTGCTGGGATTCTCGGCACTCGTGGTGCTCCTGAGTGTGAGTGACCTGAGACTGTCCGGGGGTGGGGGGGGGCACGGGAAGAGTTCTGGGGCCCTCACCCAGTTTCGAGAACGGGCCCCAGTGCCAGGTGTACACACAGGCCACGTAACGCCAATAAAATAAGAACTGACTTCAGCCCTGCACTCACACCGAGAGCTTTCCGAGGAAAACAACAATTCCCGTTACTGAGTGTGCAGCTGAGGTCTTCCCACACCACACTGGTAATGCTGACTAAAACCACACCACCGGGAAGGAGGGTCACTCAGTGACCGGGACAGGCAAGGTCGCACGCCCCCTGTCTGCCCGGGACCCTGGACAGAGCGCAAAGAGTGGGTTGTCAGCACGAAACCCACCAAGGCCCCTGGGAGCTTCGCATCAGCCAGTCTTTTTAACAACAGTTTTAATTCTCTCCAAAAGATAGTGGCTGGGGCATTGCCCTTGAAAAACCCAGAGGACCAGCACGCAACAGACTTTAGGTCAGACGGGTGTCCTCGTCCCCGTTCTCAGCATCTCGGCCCACGCTTGTTCACACGCCCCGGTTTGTGACAAGAACATCTCCAGATGCACCGGAGACTGGGATGCAGCGGGGTTTCAAGGTAGGGGCTCTGCACCCCGCCGCCCCCATCCCCCCACTGGCCAGCTCGAGCTCACCGGCACGGTGGTGCGCGCCCCCCGCGTACCTCCAGCACGATCTCTTTCAGCTGGAACTGTTTCTGAGCCACCTTATCTGCAGACACCGGCTCATGGTAATAGAGGCAGAGGAGGTCGTACTTCTTCAGGACCTGCTTCAGGTTCTTCTCTGTGAGGCTCGCCACGCGGTCCTTGCCATCGTACGTGGGGAAGTTCAGCCCCTCCTCTGCCCCGCAGCAGGACAGCAGGCAGACCCCCACGACAAACAGGCAAGTCCTCTTCATCTGGGAAAAGTTTGGCTTTCCTTGCCCAGAAGTACGGAGTGCAGGCAGAAGGAGGCAGAACTCTCAGGAGAGTCCGAGTTTGTCTCTCCTGACCTTCCTGGGCCCCGGGACAGACTCTGCACCTCCTCGGCTCCAGCCCCTGTAGTCGTGGGCTCAGCAAGAAGAGAGTGCAGGCGCACACACACACACACACACACACACACACGCACGCACGTACACACACACGCAGGCGCACATGCACACGTGTGGACTGAGAGGCAGGCTGGGCGGCCAAGCCCCAGATACCTCGCATAGCTCTGCCCGGGCCCTGTCCCATCAGGAACTCCATTTTTAGGATGCACTTGTTTCAGGCTAAAAATAAATCCTGCGATGAATAAAAAAGCTCTCCGTGCCACAGCAGAGGGATTCGCTGATACGGTCTGGTGGAGGGGTGGGGAGGGCAGAGCAGACGCGGGGTGAGGGGAGCGGAGGGCGATTACAGGGGAAGTAAGCAGGCCGGAAGGTCCCAGACCAGAGATGAACTTGGAGGGAGGAACTGGGAGGAGAGGAGGGCACGGTGGCACCGGCAAGTGAGGGGAGAAGGCAGAACCTGCACGGGGCCGTTCGGACATTATTGAACCACCTGGTTACCCAGGGAGTTGATCCAGCCCGTGCTGGGGACGGCTCGTCCGTCCCCTGCCCACTCCCTGCTGACGCAGCAGGAAGGAGCCCTGCAGTGGACTTCACGTCCTGCCCGCACTGCCTCCTGTCCTCTCTTCTTAGAAACCCAGCCCTGGCTGGCCCCTCGCTGTGCCCACATGGCCCTGCCAGTCACTGGGTGGAGGCCGCCGGTCACCCTTCCCCACCAGCCCTCCACAGCGAAGGGCCCCGGGGGCGCCGCAGCACAGTTCTTCCCTGCGCCCTGCACTGCTGAGCTCCGCCGGCACCAGGAGGACCCGTCCCCATTTAAATATTAAATAACAGCTCAACAGTCTTCCTCAGGAATCTTCTCAGGTTTTCGGCCGTCATGTTTTTCTTTTTCCATTAATCTCCAACATATCACTTTTGCCCCTTGACTCTTAATTAGACATGGAGTGATGCAGAGGGTCTAGCAGCCAGGCAGATGAGAGTTCACTCCCCCACTCTGCCTTTTTTTAAAGGTTTATTTTATCTTCATGAGAGAGACAGAGAGACAGAGAGGGAGAGAGAGAGATCGCCTCCATGTGGGCCCCAACTAGGCATCGAACCTGTAACCTACATATGTGCCCTGACTGGGAATCGAACCGGTGACCTTCTGGTTACAGGACAATGCTCCAACCAACCAACCAACCAAGCCACTCTGGCCAGGGCCCACTCTGCCTTTCAATAGCTGAGTGAACTTTGCACGGCCCCTCCCCCTCTCTGAGTCTCAGCTGCTCCCAAGTTCAGTGGGGATAATTACACCCACATTGTAGGGTTTGGCCCACGTAGATGGAAAAGCGTGATACAAAGCAGGTGCTCAAACCAAACAGCTGTTCTACTTATTTTATTCTCACTGGAGACGCTGGGGCGTGGGTTATTATAACAAGTACTTGTTAGTGTCTGGTAGTAATGGCCGTGAACCCTTCCGTGTCCATTTTCTCCTTGATCCCAGCAGGCAGTCGGGCAGACGCGAGTGCCCATTGCACAGGTGGGTGAACTGAGACTCAGAGAAATTAGCAACTTGTCTGAGACTATTTCTACCTGCCAGCGTGAGGATCCAGCTCTGCCTCCGTGCCGGGGCTGCTGGCTGCTTTGATTCTGAGTCAGGACAATCCCCCTGCAGACACCGTTCTGCTCTAGTGTCCCCTCGACCGTGTCCTCTGGTCAAACAACCATCCGGGTGTCTCTTTGGAGTGGTCTCTGGATCTTATGATTCGGGTCAAGTTTTTGTCTTCCTTCCATTTAGAAGCCAGCTTTGGAAGTAGCGAGGACCTTGTCACTCACAGGGTTTGCAGGGGACAGAAGGCAAAGGGAAGTTCAGTGGCCTGTGCGAGTGACTCCTGGTGTCTACTGCAGCCACAGGGCCCATGACAGTGCTCACTTTCTTCTGATGGTGAATTCAATGTATTTTAAAGCTGGAGCCAGAATGGCCACTCCAAGGTGTGGTCAGCTCTGGGCCATTGTCAAGCACAGGGGTCTCTGCTTTCTTCAGATAAGTTATGGGGGAAGGATTTCCAAGTGAAACAATGTATGTCTTGTTTTTTCCAGGTCAGCTTCCCAAACTGTTCCCAGCTCTCTCAAACTCATCGGCTTATCTCTATTTAGAATTTGCTCCACTTTTCTTAATATATGGTTTATTTAATGTTACTGAATAACTGGGAGATATTTAAAGTCAGAGTCTTCGAACTTCCTACTGACTTATGAGAGATGAAAAGTACCAGGGCAAAGGGATAATCTTTCAAATTTTAGCTTGGCTCTCAAGTCCGGCTTACGACCAGCTGGGTATGAACAGAAAAAAGCCCTGGTGTGGAAAGTCCCCGTCCCCGGATCCTGGCCTCTATTTGGGGACTCTCAGCCCAGCCTTGCAGGCAGCCAGCCACTGACACATGCTGTGACGATCGGGTTTCCCACTGTCCCTCCACTGTGGGCGTGAGGACCTAAATTTGTGTCCCACTCATAGTAGGTTTTCACGGTCTGCTTTTAATGGATCAGCCTTTCCTCTGGCTGCCTTTTATTTTCCTAGTTTTGTTTTGCTTTGCCTTCTTGCTCACCCACTTTAATTTATTTTTGTAAATGGAAAATGCTTCTGACATTTCTGAGTCAACTTTGCATCTCACAGATCAGCTGTCTCGTTCCAGGCTGAGCCGCTGCCTAAGGCGAGGCATCACGGCCGCCTCGCTCACGCGGCTGCGCTGGACCGGGTGCATCTCGATGTGCCGTTCGTGGGTATTGTTTTGTTTTGGAGGAAGAAGAGAAAATTAAATACACAGGTTAATACAAATGCATCTTAATTATTGTCACCGTACATGACACAGGGTCCTTGTCGTTGCTGACAATTTTCAGCCCATCACTCTGTGAGTGAGCACCTTGCATTCATTTATTCTTGACAGGCGGCCAAGTTGTTTTATATATTATTTGATTTCATCTGCAGGAGAATCGATTTTATAGATAGATGAAGATTTGGAACCATGGTCTTCCTTTGATTTGTTAATTAAACAGAGTTGTATTGAGCAGCTTCTAGGTACCAGACACTTTTCTGGGCACTGGGGTAGACACACTGTAAACCTGAGCTTACTGAGCTCCATTCTGGAGGGGAGGCAGATAATAATCCAACAAAATGTTGTGTGTGTGTGCCGTGTGACATCAAGCAGACACATCTGCTCGGAAGAACAATCGAGAAGGTCAAGGGAGAGCCTGTGACAGTAGATGAGGAGTGCCCCTTTTGTGCCAGAGGTCCAGGAAGCATCTTTGAGGAGTGAACATGGAGGCAGAGAGGCCAGTTCCAGGGAGGAAGAGGCCTAGCGGATTCCACCACTAGAGGGAGCTGTACCCACCTCTTCCTCTCAGCATCAGTTTTCTCAGAGTTTTTCATCTGTTAGTAAAATATAAAGGCTCATACCTACCTTGGAAGTTCTACAGGGGAAGGAAACCTGTCTGAGTGACTCAGAAACAGTTCACAGTGACAGAGACTTGACCAGGAATTCAGGAGACTGGAGTGCTGGAGGTCTGACACAGCCTAGCCTGGCTGTGCGACCTTGGTCCAGTCTCCTCTCCTCTTGGCCTTCCCATTTCCACTGGGGGGAAGGGTTTTGATGGGCTTGCCTCTTGGCAAGTCCCACCTTCTACTTATCTTCTCCAAAGCAGAGATCTAGGCGTCAATTGGTCCAAAGGTCCCTTCATTGGCTCACATACTCCACCCAGTGGACAGCACAGTGTATGGCACCTTTCTTTGTTTGATCCTCTGTCCCTCCTTCAGGGCAGGCCACTGGCGGGGGAAATAGAGCCTGTTCGCCCAGCGGAGAGTCTCAGAAATGCTTGTGTCTGCAGCCCTGCGTTCCTGGCCTGGGGCTTCCCCTGCTCAGCTGGAAACAGGCTTGCTCACCATCCCAAGGCCTCTGTTCCTTTTTTTACTCTGAATATCGGGAGCTTTCTCACTTCTCTGCTCCAGGAGCTGCCTCCACAGAACCAGGCAGGGGGGAAAAAAATCAATGCTCAGTTTAAGAAGAGCCCCGCAGCCCTACCAATAAGAATTCCAGGTTTTCACAAATGTCACTTCCTCGGGGAGGCTCTGGGTGTGGGCCAGGGGCTGATGTTCATGCCCCTTACGTGCTACACTTTTCCTTGGAGACATTCCCCCACTCGGGAGGACTTTTCCCCAGGGGACTGAGCCTGACTGGGGTAGGGACAGCATTCACTCCCAAGTTCTGCCTGTAGTAGTTCTCATTACATATTTATTAAAGAAATTTGAAGCACTTACATTGTGCCAGGCCTTCTCTTAAGCATTTTACAAATTCAACTCATTTATTCTTAGCAATCCTATGAGGCTGCTAATGTTAGCATCCCCACTTAACAGATGGGCAAACTGAGTCACAGGTTAACTAACCTGCCTAGGGTCACAGGTCTAGTAACAGCAGAGCTGGGATTTGAACTTACTTGTGTCTGTTTTCTACCACTTGTAGCCACTGACTAGATGCCCATCACAGGGGGCTGGTAAAGGCATTGGGGCAAACCAGAAATTGCTTCGGAGCGATGCGTGGCATCCACAGTGTGAGACTGCTCCCTGCGGATGCAGCCTGGCCTCCTGAGTGAGCAGCCGGAGAGGGAAGAAGGGGACTAATGTCTTCAGTGCTCACTGCAAGGCAGGCATTCTAAATGAAAGTTTTGCTGGATAGAGTAATCTTGGATGTAGGTCCTTGACTTTCATGACTTTGAATACTTCTTTCCAGCCCCTTCTTGCCTGCAAGTTTTCTTTTGAGAAATCAGATGATAGTCTTATGGGAGCTCCTTTTTAGGTAACTGTCTCCTTTCCTCTGGCTGCTTTTAAGATTCTCTCCCTATCTTTAATCTTGGCTAATATAATTATGATGTGCCTCAGTGTGTGCTTCCTTGAGTGCAACTTCTTTGGAACTCTCTGACATTCCTGGACTTCCTAGAAGTCTATTTCCTATGTCAGATTGGGGAAGTTCTCCTTCATTATTTTTTCAAGTAAGTTTTCAATTTCTTGGTCTTCCTCTTCTCCTTCTGGCACCTCTATGAG